TGTAGGTGGTCAAAAATTAGTGAGTAGAACAAACTTTCCATCAGAACTATCCGGTCTAAAATCTTCCTGTGGAAACCACCAATAGACCCTATGGGCCTCGGAGGACTGCTTCCCAGAAAGGGGATGCTTTTACCAGGGTAAAAAGTGAGAGTCCTGCTAGACATAAAGATACTACTGCTGCTGGTCAGCCCTATAGACAGCAAGAAAAGAAAGGAGTTGGGTCCTGGCCTGTGTGGCTCAGTTGGTTGGACATCATCCTATGCACTGAAAGGTTGCCTGTGTGATTCCTGGAGAGGGCTCATGCCCGGGTTACAGCTTGATCCCTCATAGTGGGCCTGCAGGAGGCAGCTGAGGGATGTTTCACTATTACATCGCTGTTTTTCTCTCCCTCTCCCTCTAAAAATCAATTTAAAATATCTTTAAAAAAATAGAAAGGAGTTGGATACTGATGTGGCAAAAGACCCTGATGATCATGAAGAAGACAATAGCTCCTGGGTACTGGGACAGGGAAGAATATGTTAGGCTCTCAGATGATCCACTGGGTATTTCTTGGCATCATCATGACTAATTATAATTAGAATATGTAAGTACAATAACCACGGCATCAACTATAATAAATGTCACAAATATACTGTTGCGCAAAACAGAAAATCACAGAAAAATACAGTATAATACTATTAGGTAAATTCAATAACCAAGATTAAGCCATATGCCATTTGGAAATATATACATACATGGCGAAATTATAAACAAAAGCAAAGAAATTATAATCACAAAATCTAGAACAGTAATTATCTTGGGTAAGCAGCAAAGGAATGAAATCAGAGTGGCAGATATGGTCTCAAGAGTATTAGAAATGTTACTTCCCATTTGGGTGGTGAGCACACTGGCGTTCATGTTATGAACATTCCTGAAATGCACATATACATTACACTTATTATTTTAAGTGTAAAATAGTGTAAACAAAAGTGACATTTCATAGGGAAAATATAAAGGAAAGAACAAAAAGAAGAGGGGAAGGAGGATAAGGGGTAGGTATAGAGAAATTTTTCCTAAAATCTTCATCCAAAATATCAGTGGCAGTGTGGAAATGAAACTCCGTAACAGCACACAATTCTATTTTCTATAATGTACCGGGCTTGGCACTTTAAGCAGGTTTTCTGAGACATGTAATCTCTTATGTTCAAGAAGTATTTTCTTGGAAGAAAGTAAGTAAACATCTTAGTTTCAGAGTTAGCATAGACCATAACAACTTAAAAATTCTCAAAAATAGCTTTAAAAATTGTGTGCAATATTCTCTGTAGGGCAGTCTCTATGTAGGATTCTCTTAGACACCTCATCACTTGGCTCTAGAGATGGAAAGCATCCTTCTCACAAACCCTTGGTTCACCAGGCTGACCCCCTCCCCCGCCCCCGCCACCAACAGTTCCTATGAATCTCCCCATCTTCTCTCAACGTTTTTTATAAGCTGGGAAGGGGCACTAGGGTGACCGTCCCTCTTGATAGTATAGATGACATGTCTCTTGTTCAGCCCAAGGCAGGGGCCTGGGCCCGGTGGTTTTCAACTCTTTTTAAAAGGTGAGTATTTAGACTTCTGGTCAAGATGGCGGGTAGGTAAACGCGGTATCGCGTCCTCCCACAACCACATCAAAGTTACAACTAAACTACAGAACCACCATCATTCAAAACCACCTGACATCCAGCTGAATGGAAGTCATACAACTACAGAATTTTTTTTAAAAAAAAGCAGCTACATCCAGACTGGTAGGAGGGGCGGCGGCACGAGGGGCGGCGAGACGGGCTGGTCCCACACCCACGTGTGGCGGATAAAAATCAGGAGGCTCCCGCGGCTGGGAAGGTCCTTCCTGAGGACTGAGGGGTCCCTGTCTCACACCAGGTGCCACGCTCAGGGTTCCAGTGCCAGGAAGAGAATCCCCATAACTTCTGGCTGGAAAAACCAGCAGAAACTGAGGCTCAGGGAAGCTGAGGCGGCTGGAGCCCCAGGCAGCTCCCTAAAGGGCCCGCGCACGGACTTATCGGACTCTCCCCCTCTAAGCTCGGAGGGGAGGCAGCTCGAGGGGCACCAGAGACATACAGGGAAGAACTGAGCTGTTTGGCACTGGAGCGAGGACTGGAGAGGGGGCTTCCTCGGGGACAAACGTGCTGTCAGAGGCCTTTGTTCCTTTGGTGAGCCCTTCCCAGGGGCGGCAGACAGAAGCCATATCTGGGACTCCAGCAACCTGGCTCACACTGGTAGCCCCGCCCTGCTGACTCCCTGAGGCCCCGCCCTGCCCCGCCCCACACAACTTTCAAGCCCACCCAAGCTGTTGCCACTTGCTTAACCATAGGATTGGCCTGTCTTGGATCCTGCTTCAGGTTTTTCCTAAATTCTTTCAAACGAGCAGCATCTGGTCTCAGCGAGCCCCATACCACTCATTAAGTAATACACAGAAACAAACACAGGGAGGCAGCCAAAATGAGGAGACAAAGAAACAGGTCCCAAATGAAAGAACACAACAAAACCCCAAGAAAAGAACTAAGTGAAAGGGAGATAAGCAACCTAACAGATACTGAGTTCAAAATACTGCTTATAAGGATGCTCAATGAACTTAGTGAGAACCTCAGTGAACTTAGGGAGGGCCTCAAGAGCATAAAAAAGGACCACTTAGAAATCATGGATACACAGTTAGAATTAAAGGAGGCATTAACTGAAATAAAGAATAATTTACACAGCTTCAATAATAGAGTAGGTAAATCCAAGGAGCAAATCATCGATTTGGAATATAAGGAAGCAAAAAATCCCCAATCAGAACAGCAAAAAGAAAAAAGAATCCAAAAAAATGAGGATAGTGTAAGGAGCCTCTGGGACAACTTCAAGCATGCCAACATTCGCATCTTGGGGGTGCCCGAAGGAGAAAAGAGAGAACAAGAAATCGAAAACCTGTTTGAAACAATAATGGCAGAAAACTTTCCTAACTTGGTGAAGGAAACACACATATAAGTCCAGGAAGCACAGAGAGTCCCAAACAAGATGAACCCCAAGAGGCACACACCAAGACACATCATCATCAAAATGCAAAAGGTTCAAGACAAAGAGAGAATCTTAAAAGCAGCAAGAGAAAGGCAGCTAGTTACCTACAAGGGAGTTCCCATTAGGCTGTCAGCTGATTTCTCAAAAGAAACTTTGCAGGCCAGAAGGGAGTGGCAAGAAATATTCAGAGTGATGAAAACCAAGAACCTACAACCAAAATTACTCTATCCTGCAAAGCTGTCATTTAGAATTGATGGACATATAAAAACTTTCCCAGACAAGAAAAAGTTAAAGGAGTTCATCACTACCAAACCATTATTATATGAAATGATGAAGGGTCTTTTTGAGGAAAAAGATAAAATGTATGAACAAACAAAATGGCAATGAATACATATCTATCAACAATGGAATCTACAAACAAAATGAACAGGCAGAACAGAAACATTCTCATAGATACAGAGAACATTTTGTTGGTTGCCAGTTGGGAAGGGGGTTGGGAGAATGGGTGAAAAAGGTGAAGGGATTAAGAAGCACAAATTCATTGCTAGACTGACAAACCTCAAAGGGAAAGGGGTTGGGGGGGGGGTGGGAAGAAATAAACCAAAGAACTTATCTGCATAACCAATGGACACAGACAATAGTGCGGGAAAATGTGGGAGGGGGGCGGGAGTGGGGAGGAGGGGGTCAATGGGGGAAAAATGCGGAACATCTGTAATACATTTTACATCCAACAATAAAGATTTGAAAAAAAAAAAAAAAGGGTGAGTATTTAACCCTATTTCACCTTTAAATTTGGTCCATTGTTGCCAATTTGGAGGCACAGGAACTAACGTCCTGCTCAACATCTTTTACTAATACAATTATTAAAGAGAATCTAATGTTTGATATGTGGATCAGTGTGCAGTATTAAAGAAAAAAAGAAAACTCTAAAATATATATAACAAACACACACAGGGAGACAACAACAGGATTATGAAATATAAAGACACTCTTTATAAAATTCATACTTTGAAAGATGACTCCCTGGTTTAAACACAGGGGAGAAAGATTTTGTCTGGGAGGCATTCTCCTTCACAACACATCTTTCCTCCCCCTGGTGTTAATGGTCCAAGTAATGCTAATTAAGTGCACATGTGTGACTAATTTAAGTGTTACAGAATACAAGGTGATCTTAACCCCCTTTCACCCCAAAATCAAATAGGAAAGGAAGTTGCTAGCCTCTAGAATTTACAAAGGATTGAGAATTGAACTGTGAAACTATATTTCACAGAAAAATCTAAATTGACTTCTCAGGTTATAAATAAATGATCACGGTAGGGACAGTTCCATTTTAATTCATTGGGAAAGAGGTAGTTATTCATTATACTGAGTCTTACGATCAGGAAAGAGAACGGACAGGACATAATTTTGAGCTGTCAAGCTTAAAACGTGTATAAAACAAATACCCTCACGTTGTTCTATGGAAGAATTGAGCCTGCTAAATATCAGACTAGATGCAGAGTCTAAACGGTTGTTACAAAGGTACCCTGGCGTGAAGAAGTATGATTTACAAAAAGCACTGAAGGAAAACTTCCATATATACATATTGGTGAGATACATGTCATTAAAGATGAGCTCATTACGAGGAGGACTGCAGTTTGAAACTCATCTTTGTTACATGTCAACTCGACATTCTGACATCACTCTCTAGGAAATGAAAATGACGGGAACATCGAAGTCACAATTTCATACTCTATGAACATTAATTGCAGAAATGGCAATTGTTCCAGAAACATTTAAATAGTCATGCGTCCCCAGTCAAAGCCATAGTAAGGATAACCATCTCTGCATTTAATTACTTAAAGAGAATTGCCAGGGAAGACCCATATCTAGTAAAATTAATATACCCCACTGAAGACAGACCACAACAGTTTGTGTTGAAAGGAGTCACCTTCCACAGATGGCTGAAAAAGAACACAAAAGAGCTTACCTTTATGATGGTTTGCACTGGATACAACTTTTCCCCACAAGGTTACAATAAATATTATTATTAGCAGTTTTCCTTTTGTTGCTTTCTGTAAGTATCTCTTACTCATCCTGCAGATAAAAAACAGTAAGAAAAATCCTGAGTATGTGAAACCATTGCTTTTCCATTATAATTATGCTACATTTGAAATTTTTTCATGATACCTTAACACATTTAACTCCTGGAAATTGCATTTCTCACATTTAAAATGCTGCTCACTCTATGTAAACTATGAAGAGAAAAATAAAGTTTTCCAAAGTACCTTCATATGATGCAAGAGATTAAGAAAGGTTCTGCCTCAGTCAGTCTTCATTCACTTAATAATAGCTTAAATCAATTGGGAAATAGTACCATTTTTCTCTCTAGACATACAAATATAAATTTAACCTATTCACAAAATCCAAGGCATAGTTGTTTGAATAATCTTTAAATAGTGACTTATTTTACATTTGTTCTAAAGATAACTTCTTCAATGCCACGTCAAATAGCCAGGGTAAGCAGTTTAGATAAAATGTACTAAATGAATTCCTGCACAGAATAAAATTACTTCAGATCTACTATTCCTAATGTGCTTTTTAAAAAGTCACGTGGTACAACAGCTTTCTTATTGTACATCACTGCTGCTGGAGATACACAGATGTTTTAATATTGTTGGACTCCACTATGCTGCACTTATCAGAAGTAAGAGCAAAATAGAAAAGCAGAGAGAGAGAGAAAAATACTAACTTCACATTTTCAAGTTGAGCCCACAAAACTAAGAAATATCATAATAAAATAATAGCTACTTATAATAAAAGTTCAGCACCCACCTTCGCTAGCACTTTATAGAACATTATTTCAATGGCTTTTCAGAACAAATTTGGGGTGTTGTTATATCTATCCCCATTTCATAGATAATAAAATTTAGGAATTTGCCTGAGGTCATGTTTAATAACGAAATAAAAATTCAAACCTAGAATTGTCTAATACTAAAATCCTTACATTTCTACATTGCTGATACGTAAGCAAAATGGATATAAAATAGAGTCATTCTGCATTTATTTTTGAGGGAGATAAAGTACATGTCTGTCACTCTGTGTTTCCAGATTCATTCTCGCTTGATCTACAGATTCTTGCCTTGGTTCCACTGCAAGCCACTTCATGAGGTCCCTTCCTGCCCTAGCATGATTCCTCCTGGATTCTCCAACTTAACTTTTTCCTCACACCTTTGTTTCCAATTTTTCCAGCTCCAAAAATATGACTCAGTGGTAGCAATGATGGCCATACTGATAAATGCATGAAAAAAAAGTACTATATTATACATATTTAATATAGATATATGTTAACATATGTTAGCCTCGGGAAGTTGTGCACATTCATTCAGATGTGGAGAAAGCAATGTTGTATGATTAAGAACATGGACTCGCCCGGCCGGTGTGGCTCAGTGATTGAGCATCGACCCATGAACCAAGAGGTCGCCGGTTCGACTCCCGGTCAGGGCACATGCCCAGGTTGTGGGCCAAATCCCCAGTGGGGGGCATGCAGAAGGTGGCCAATGGATGTTCTCTCTCATTGATGTTTCTATCTCTCTCCCCCTCTCCCTTCCTCTCTAAAAATAAATACAGAAAAAAAAATGTTTTATAAAAAAAGAAGAACATGGACTCACTTTTGAGTTTGAGGTTCTGGATTTGAGTTCAGGCTCTACCAGCTTCTAATTGTGTGATTTTGTACAGGTTTCTGGATCTCCTACTTCAGTTTCTTCTTCTGTAATATGGAATAATGCCTGTGAAATGCCTGACCCACTGGTTGGCATGTATAAGGGATCAATGACTTTGAGATTAGAGAATGTTCAGTCACTTGGATGTTATGTTCAATCCTTGGGTACATGAGAAGACAGTCCCATTTATGTGGTGAATGAAGAGAGTTCCAATGGTATCAATAGCTGGAAGTCCTCTGTGTATCTTACTCTTGTGACATGTCAAGATGCTGTACAAAGGGATCGGTGCCTAACCTTTTAGATGAGACTCTTTGGTTTACAATTTGACTCTGCCTACTGACTATATGACTTTGGACATATTACTTTATAACTCGGAGTATTTTTGTTGTCACTACAATTAGAAAAATAATAATATCTACCTGATAATGTTGTAGGTATGAAGACTAAATAAAGTAAGCCATGGAAAGAGTTTAACACTGTGCATAGAAAGTAGCAAATACTCAATAAATGTTAACCCTCACTATGATCATAACTTAGTTAGACCAGCACTTTCCTAGGTGTGCCTTGTGAGGCACAGAATGTTAATTCAGTATTAGTGAAAAACATAGGGGCAAACGTATTTGTAAAATTCTGGGTTCAATAGCCCTGGCCAGTGTGGCTTGGTGGTTGGGTGTCATGCATGCACTGAAAGGTTGCTGGTTCAATTCCTGGTCAGGGCACATGCCAGGTTGTGGGATTGATCTCTGGTAGGGTGTGTGCAGGAGGCAGCAGAACAATGTTCATCTTCCACGTCAATGTTTCTCTTTCTCCTTTCCTCTCTCTCTCTCTCTCTAAAAATCAATAAAAAATATTTTTTAAACATTCTGGATTCAAAACATTTAACCAGAATTTTTAAATAGGAAGCACATCTGAGTGTGTGGTATTTTCCAGAAATTTCTCTCCACAGAGTAACATAGGATACTAGTGTCCTCATGAAGCTTCTTATAGAAATAACCTGATTTAGTATTCCCCCCTCAGTAGACAAATGCTCATTTTAAATCTTATATTCTATTGCCTTTGTTTCAACTCAGCTTTCTTACTAATTTTGTTATGAGACCCTACTTTTCCTCAACCATCCGGCCTCCCCTTTTTCACCAAATTCCTGCAACTTTATTATACTGCATATCATCTAAAAGAAAGAGCAGTTTAGCAAAACTCATCTGACAAGAAGAGCTGCTTAGCATAATTCTTGATAATAGCTTTCCCATAGCAAATGGTCTCTGCTACAAGGTCAATGACCCATGTATTTTCCATCTCACACTGCACCCACCAAATGGGATGACAAAACTGACAGCTGGTCAGACTGATATCTAGACATATGGAAATGGAAGCACCCACAACGTCCCAGGCTGTCAAACTAGAAAAAGGAAGCAGAATGAACGTCAACATTTGGAAGTCTCTACAGACCTCTGCCTTCTCTTTCTCATACCAACCCCATCCCTGACCAGCCAATTACCATCTTCTCTTAACACTACTTTTTCAGTATCTCCTAAATGTATACACTTATTTCCATCCCTATGAATACTGCAGTTCAGACCCCCAAAATATCTCACAGCCTGCGGCCCCTTCCCTGGCCTTCCTGCCGCCAACATTGCTGCCCTTCAGAACTAAAGCCAGGGTCAGTGACTGCCTCTTTCATGATAATATTTGCAGTATTTAGTTCATAAGTGCCTGATAAATGCTGTCGACTGAATGGAATGCATTCTCTGTGCTGTAGCCACATACGTAACTAAGATCATGAGACACCCTTCATAAGAGTAAAACCTTCACATGCTTCCTCTCTATAGTAAGAGGGGGGAAAGGCCATAACCCTTAGCAAGGTGTAAAAACCTGTATCAGGGTTTTTTTGAAAAACTGTTTTTAACTGATTACGTCTCTAACCTGATTTTGTGCTGTTCCTCCCTATCACTCTATTTCAACTCTATGTTCCAGCACATCTCATCTGCATGTCACCTGAAACGTATTAGCCACCCACCCTACCTCCCATCCCCCATTGGTCAGGGTGCAGGTTAGATTTCTCCCATAGGATTTGTCCAAGGCCATGTTGAGCACCTTCTTTATGTATAAGAGCCACTGGCCACACTGTTATAATTTTTAGCTTACTCATCTTCATCCCCCACTCTAATATAAGGTTCCTAAAGATAGGGGCTGTGTCTAATACATTTGTGAATGCCTAATGCCTAGCCCAAGGTTGAGTTTAATAACTGGGAAATGAGTATTTGTTGAATGTTGGTGCTGCCTTAGAGCCCAATATATTGTGTAGTTGTCAATGTGAGGAGGAAGAAGTGTGTGTCATTCCTTTAGCCTGGGATTATGAAAGGACAAACAGGAAGAAAAATGTAAGAAAGAGGTGGGAGGGGAGACCAGAAAGGCACACTAGAAAAGAAGAAAATAAGAAGGGAGAAATCCAATCCATAATGAGTTTTATTCTGATTTTTAATACTGATCAAGCTTGAGCAAACTGAAGTGTGATGGAGAATTTTTGACAAAGGGGCAGTAGCAAAGACAACAAAGCTGAATGGCACCTTTCTTCCTGACCTTGTGTGGGAGCACAGGAGGGGCATTCGCTTCCCATCCAACCTGCTACCCACCAGGTCCCAGTCTAAAATTTCCCACCCAACACACTTTCAGAATTGTCACATCCATCTGTAAAAACAACAAAATTTAAATGCATTTTTTAACAGCAAAAACTGGGCGGGGAAAGAAACAGGAAACTGGCTGATAAATACACCCAGAGAAGGAAACCTTGACGTTGCTCCGCAGCTGCCTGCAAGGAGCAAAGGGAGCAGGGTAACTGAGGAGTGGTGACCTTCGTAGAGAAGGGTGTTGAAATGAAAAGTTGTCCAAGTGGAGGGCTGGCAATTCCAGCTCCAGACTTCCTCCCACTCTTCTCTTCTGCATTTCATTTCAGTTACACTCACTGAGATAGAGACTTGTGGGTGATTTAGAAACCTTTCCCCTCCCAACCAGTGCTAACAGTGTACTTAGTTGTTAATAAGCAAGAATTGAAAAACTGTTATGCTACTAGAAAAATAATTTCCCCATTAAAACAGAAAGTAAGCTTGACTGGTCTAAAGCAGAGAAAAGGAAAAGGAAAAAGAGGAGAATCTTATATAGAAAGGAGATCACAGGTGGGTCTAGACTCTATCCACCTGGCCTTTCCTTGAGCTTAAGTCACTTCTGTGGAAATAAAGGTCATATAAGGCAATAAAAGTTTCTTTAGGACACTTCTCTACATTGATCTAATATTCAAACCAACCTGGTATTAATTAATTACAATGGCATGGACTTTAATAGCCAAAACTAGTACAGAAATTAACCCTTCAGGTAAAATAC